GTTGCGCACGTTAAAGATCCCTTGGTGGTCTAAAATCGATAAGAGTAGGCTTCGGCCGCCACCCGGGCAAAATTCAAAATTTCCTACCAACGAAAAAGTATTAGGTGTGTCCCACGCGCTCATATGACATTATGCAGTTGCGAGCGCCGTAAAACCCTATACTAAACAACAAACAACAAACAAGAGTCGGGGCCAAGCCAACTAGATTTTTCTCGATGGAAGGTCGAAAGTTGACAGTTTGACGAAATTTCAATAATTCGACTGAATTCGACTTAATTTCAATTGTGACCTTCAAATTGGAATGTGTTTGATTTTCGAGGTCGAGAGTCGAATCAATCGAATAGTGCCAAAAGTGTAGCTTTTTGCTCCTCTTTGGAGGAAAATCTGGCCGACCCGGACTCAATTCGACTGAATTCGAATGGCAGTGAGCACTCGGCATAAGATCAAGCTCCTGGTCTTACAAGACAAAAGCAAAAAATCTCGGAGGGCCCGTGCGCACGCTGCACATATTTAAAGATCCCTTGGTGGTTGAAAATCGAAGAAGAGTAGGCCGTTTAAGTTTAAGCTGCCACCGGAGACATTTTTTTATAGTGTGCGGGCGTATGTGCGTGTGTGTGTGTGTGTGTGTGTGTGTGTGTGTGTGTGTGTGTGTGTATGTGGGTGGTAGTGTGTGTGGCAGTGTGTGTGGCAGTGTGTGTTTGTGTGTGTGATAGTTAGTTAGTGTGTTTGTATGTATGTACATGTGCTTGTGCTTTTGTTGTCTGGTAATGTTATGCCTTTGTGTGCGTGTGCTTGTCTGTTTTTGTGAACAACTTTGTGGGAGCCTCTTTGTACTTGTGTGTACATGTGTGCGTATTTGCACGATTGCTCGTACTATGTGCATGTTTGTATTCACTCATGTGCATGTGTTTATGTGTAATGTTGTTGAAATAATCGGTCAACATAGCAGAGTTACCATAGGTTTTCTTCATGAAGTTCTCTTCAAGCGAAAAAGCTTCCCTTTGCTTTATCTATTGACACAAATTTGATGTTGCTGTGATGTGATGCTGCTCAATGCCATTGCCTGAGACTGTTTTCTTTCGCTAATTTTAATGTCAGACCGCGAAAGCAGGACGTCGGTCATAAAGGAAGAAGATGATGTCGAAGATGATTCACCTTTATATCAAAATTATCTCTTAGCTGCAGGTATCCTGGTGTTCTGTGTTTCCCATTATTTTTGCTTTAAAAAATTATTTTTTTCTTTTTTGAAAAAAGTTTAATTTTAGCTATAGCACAGTTCACCATTTTTTCATAACATTTTCCACTTCATAACTTTTAAGGTGTGTTGATTGTTTTATATCAGTATTTTTATGTTGTCAAATTGTTTATTGGAAAATATCTTTATTTGCTTGTTTGAATGTTTTTTAAAGTTTAAGGTCTTGGGATTGTATTTTTTTCCGGAAAGGAGTTCTTACTTTCTTAAGTCATTTGTAATAAGTACAAAATAAAAGAATATTGACAGTAAAAGCTTATAGAATATAAAAGATATTACGCAGAGTTTATTTCTTTTGCAGTCTTCACCAGCGAATAATAACATTTTTAAAAAGTTCAAAGTGTAACTGTCACCTTCATGGACTTGCAGTGCCATCACCCTTTAATTTTTGATTCATCCATGCCTGTGAATTGTTGTAGACATTCTTGCAGTGGCGTTTTATGGTTATGAGTGATTCCTTATTACTCATTAAGGTTCTTTTAAGCAAGCTTGAGCCAAAGCCAAATTTGATGTTAAAGTGAGATCGGTCAGGTTAGAGATGGTTTATACAATGACTTTCTGTGTGTAGGCTTGTGGTAGTCAGTATAGTTAATGATTTTGATTCTTTTAAAGAGAATTATACAGCTACAGCCACACAACTGAAAGGGAAAAGTTTTTAATCGATGGACATTTGGTAACTTATTTGTGTATAGAAAGTAATAATGTCTTATCTAATTAATTATAGTAATTTGTATTGCATTTAAATCAGTCTTTCATTGCAAGATTATCATTGAAGGTTTGATCAATGCTGTTAACTTTAACTTATTGAGTTGCTGATTGTCCTCCTGAATCTTAGCCTTGAAACAGAAACGATGAATATGTGGTTATGGCTTGATTTATTCTGTTTCAATGTCAACTGGAAGTTTGATGTAAACTCATATTGCATGTGGGAAAGGGAACACATGGTGTATAATTTTGATGTTTCGATGTTTGTTTTGTTCGAAAGTGTTCTTAAACATCTTACTCAAATCAATTCAATACACTGTTTTACTTTATTTTTCAAAAATTGTTGTTGGCTTTTCTAGACTTACTTGTAACATTTTTTTTCTACATTTCACGTGAATTGGCATCATCTCTTGTACCAAGATATCAACAGCAAATAGTTACCGAGCAAATGAGAAGATTTCCTAATATATTTAAATAGCTTTGTATTTTATTTGTTTACTTGTATATGTTTATTTGCTTGTGATCACTGCTGTCAGTGTATTGCTGTCTACTGTCTACTTTGAGAACCAGAAGTGGAAGTGTGGGTTGTTGGTGGTTGGTCTGGTGAAGTTTGCTCCTTCTTTCCTCTCGAACGTCTATCGTCCTTATCTCTCCTCCTTTTTTTTTGTATGTTACTCTCTTGTAACACATCTATTCTTCGGCACTGATATGACCTAATTGTGTTGCAAGTTTTGTAAAACTCTTACGAAAACTAAAAGAAGTAGAAGTGCTTGTTCCTCCAGATAATATAGACATAGTACAATGATAAACATGTGCATTCCCCAATCTGTGAATTGCCCACAAGTATGGGAAAAAATACTTTAACTTGCTGCAGTTATAAATGTGACCCTTTGCACGAACTTGATGTGCAATAAATCCTTATTCATTCTTTGCCTTCAATTAAAAAAATTGTGTTGGAGCTATTTTATGAATGCACAGGGTAGCTCAACTTTTCTACAGTTAAAAATTTCAGTTTGTCTTTTTCATTGCTGAAAATATTTTGAAATACCCAGGAGTCTTGAAAGACCAATGTGAAATGAACTAGCCAGATTGAGAAAAAAGCTGTATAAAAAGTTGTCATTTTGCTGGTGTGCTAATTGTGTATCTGTTTTGAAGTACAAGGCTTGCTTTGACTGATGTCTCTTCTACAAAACTAGTTTGAACAGTGAGAACAGTCTCTCTATTTAGTATACCTCTCCCGTGAGTCAGGAATTGTCAGTAGTTTGCAATTTAACCTCACTGGCAAAGTTCACATTGTTTTGCTCTTTGTCTATTCTGATTTGCCTTTTTTTCTGCAATTTTTTGTCAGCTTGTTGTTTAGTTTGTACAGTTTGTGTTGCCTACTTTTGCTGTCTTTGTCCAGCTCATAGTACCCTCTTATGTCATTTAGTCTTTTGTCCTTAATGTTCGCATCTTTGCCATTTCTTTGTCTTTTTTATCACTTTCTCGTCCTTGTCAACTGTATGTGGTGTTTTGTTTCAATCATCAGTAAACCATAACTTTCCTCTCTTTGTGGGTGGTTGGCGGGTGCTCTGGTGTGGTTTGCTTCTTCTTTCCCATCAAACATCTATCGTCCTTATCTCCCCTTCTTCTTTTTTATGTTTGTTACTCTCTTGTAACACCTCTAATCTTTTGGCGCTCATATGACCTTATGCAGTTGCGAGCGTCGTAAAACCTCTACTAAAACTAAACTTTCCTCTCTTTCTCTTATTGATGCTTCCCTTTCTGTTCCCTTTCTTTAAAATACTTGTATCTCATTGTTTTAGATTTTTTTGCCTTTTTGTATTTTTTTACGCCCTCCATTTGTCTGCCCTGATTTGTTGCTTGTTTCCCTGTCCTCCCCCCTCCTCTCCTCCCCCCTCCTCTCCTCCCCCCTCCTTTTCCCCCCCTCCTCTCCTCCCCCCTCCTCTCCTCCCCCCCTCCTCTCCCCCACCCCCTCCAATGTTGCTGAGAATTGCTCGTCAAGTATTGTGTATCTTTAATTGCACTCCATTTTTCCCAAAGTGGGCCTTTGTAAAGCCATTTGTCTTTGGCCCTAGAGTGTTCATCATGATCAATGAACGAGTGTGAGAATCAAATTCAACACTTTTATTTAGAGGGGCTGGTAAACTAGTGCAGTGAATTTGCCACCCTTTTGGGGTTTGTAAATTTAGCAACTTTTCTGCACTCTGTCTAAAGGTACTTTCGGATTTTTCTAGTTTTCAAGTAAGATGTGTACAGAAAACAGAAAAATCACTGTGATTTTGGTCGTGTTTTTGTTATTACAGAAAAATTAGTGCTGATTGTTTATGATGGATACTTTGGTGTAGTCTTTTTTTTAACGTCTTTTCAGTGCTGCCATTGTCTTGGCCAGGAAAATTCTAATGTTAATTTGTCAGAGTTTTCAAAAATTACTACTCTCAACAATGTATAACGGATATAATGATCCTAGCATGGAGTTATATATATTCATTTTTTTATTCTGTGTGTTTGTGTATTTCAGGAGACGAAGTGCTAGTGGCAGCAGCAGGCAAAAGTATAGAGGAGAAGGCAGCAGAACTGAGCAAGCTGGATGAGAAGAGCAATGGTGAGAGACTTTTTTTTTTACATGTCTCTTGCTGAAGAATTCTTTTGTGATTTTTTTGTCTTTCCAATTTTGTGCGTGTCTGCTACTTGTATTTCTTGTTATTGTAGCTATTGTCCTCTTGTAGTCCAGGTGAAGTGAGGCTGCTACTTCGTTGACCCGCCGTGTACTTTTACGGGTTATGTAATTTGACTGTAAATGTTTTTACCCATCCAATCCTTCCCAGTCTAGACATTGTTAGTCTGTTATGTCAAATGATTCTTTTTGGCTGTGCTGCTTCCCAGTGGGTGGTTGGCGGGTGCTCTGGTGTGGTTTGCTCCTTCTTTCCTATCAAGCATCTATCGTCCTTATCTCCCCTTCTTCTTTTTTATGTTTGTTACTCTCTTGTAACACCTCTAATCTGCTGGCGCTCATATGACCTTATGCAGTGGTGAGTGCCGTAAAACGTCTACTAAAACTAACAACTCATGAACAGTTGTTTTCACAATGCTGTAGTGTCTCCTGTATTTTCCTTGTGAGCAGAGAGCACTCCATTGGGTTCTGTGGAGCAGCTGGATGGTTTTGGGGAGTTGCCAGTGATGAGCTCTCGACCTTTGGAGCACGTGACGAAGGCCCGACCGCGGAGGGAGAAGGCACACAGACCCACCCGACCCGTGCTGGCGACAGGTAACATTGGTCAATTTGCTCTGTGTCTCACCTGGTAATGGGTTGGGTTGTAAATGTTTTAGACCATGATTTTACACTTTGTATGATTCTGAGAGAGAGAGAGAGAGAGAGAGAGAGAG